CCATGGCTAATAATCTCTTGTTTTAAATTAGGCGGACCAAAAACAACTGCTGTATTTCCGTTATCGCTTTTCTCACTATAACTCATTTTTCGACAAAAATACGAAAACGAAAAAGCACAAAAGTATACCAAATGTTAAATTTAAAAAAAAATCTTTTTTTTTTTAAAGTAAGCAGTAGATGGAGGTGTCTTTATTTCTCGCAATTACAAACATTGGGCAGTTGGTAGTGTGAGTTTTTCTTTTGCCCGTTTGCATAGTTCATTATTAATAGATACATTTAAAAGTATAGAGAAGTCGACAGGGGATTTTAATGCCTATTTTGCAGGCCTTGGATAGGGGAAGAAGTCGCACGGTCTAAAAATGACAAATTTCCGTATTCGTTTTATGAAAGTAATGCAAACATTTTCAAACACGTTCAAGTACTTTTACTATGAATTTTGGTAACATAACTTGCAACGGTTACGGTAACAGCTTAGTTTAGTACCTACTCGGCTTAAATTGATATAAATTTTCATCCATTCATTTACAAAGATGCATTTTTCATTACCAGCGCTAATACTCTACCGTCCGAGATTGTATCTTGATGGATGAGCGATAGACAGAGAGAAACACTAATCGAGTATCTAGTAATGAACCTGCTACAGCCCTGACTTTCTATTAAGGTGCTGAGTTGCAGACGTTTACATTCTACTACAGTACTCAGAGGAAAATCTTAATTAGAAAAATTTATTATAAGAAGTCTAATTGCGAATGTTTTAGTCGATGCCTTGGACTTCTTCGTAATAGTGCGTTCTCGTGGCCCGTGATGTCAAACGTGCCGGTTTGTATGGGCGAGTTTTGCGAAACGGGCGAGTCCAGGCGGCCACGGTTTGAAGTTACGGACCATGGCGATCCGAACAGACCGCCACGGGCGATCATGAGCGCGCTCGGGCGGCCCTTTTCCACGGCGCGTTTTCAAGGGCCGCGAAACGGGCCATGTGCAGCCGCTTTTATTAGAAGAACATCGATTAGAAAACTACATGTTAGAGATGTTTAGTAGTAGCAGAGCTGCCGTCATATTAACTTTTTTTGTGAGTGTTGTTTATATTTGTACTGTATCAAAGACGCAATGCTATCGGCCTACATTTTGTCTTTGACAGAATGTGATATTGGTGAGTTAGATGTTTAGTGTTTAGGAGTAATAATTTGTAACAAGAGTATTTACTTCAATTATATACTTTTTTATAAAAAAATATTTTTCTTTTTACAAACAATACACCAATATACAATATAACACTATGGTAATATATAATTTAATAGATTTATCATAGATGGTGCTACGTACGCAAAAAAGTCGTTAAAAACCTAAAACAAAGATCTACAACAAGCACACAGACAAATTCGTAAAGTCCGCTAGTTCGTTCCGTGGCTTAGTTGATATAGAGTCTAGCAAGGTTTGCCGGAAGATGTTGGTTTTTAATCCAGCCGGATCGTAGGAATTTTTTCTTAGTGTTCGATCATTGTATTAATAATTATTACAAACTAGTGGAGTGAAAAAATAATTGGATATCATGGTAGTGTAACATCCGCGACATTCAATAAAGACCTAAAAATTACTATGGTGATAACTTAACCTACCTTGAAGGCAGAATTAATATAATACAATCATACAACATAATAGTACAAATAGAAATGTATAGCAAAGCAACATAACTATTGCAATCATAGCAATTTATTTTTCTTAATTTATTTAGAAATTTAAAAAGAAAATTTGCGGTCAAGTAGACATGTGAGCATTATTGAGTTCCCATTTTGAAGTGTTGAAGGATGCAGGCGAAACTACACTTGTTAAGTTTATGTCCCAAGGTGACAGATCTTTGCAATTTCAAGCTCTGAATGCTAAGCCTACAGTACAGCATTTTAAAGCTTTACAAATTATGCACCTTCTGCATAGTGTAATAATAAATAACGGTTACCATAAGCATATTTTATTACCATTTATAGAGGATGTAACACCTTAAGTAAAGTGCTTTATGCTTTTGAAACTGTATAAGTTGCAACGTGGTCGTAACTTTGTTGCAACTGTTTAAGGTGGAGGAATTTAGTAGTCTTATAATCATTAACTACTATATGACGACTTCTTTGGTTAGTAGGTTTAGTATTCTTGTACCGTTGAAATTCGTAAATACAACTCCGTTTAATAGTTGGACATCGGTTATCAATATACACATGAGCACTGTTTGTCAAATCGAGGTCGAAGAATTATATTTAAACTGACAGAACTTTAAATCGCAAAGATCGGAGGGGCACTGCCACTACGCTTGTCATCCTGAGACATACGTTGACAAGTCTCATGTACCTGTAATTTCACCAGCACCTTTGCCCTCCAAAACCGGAACACAGTAATGCTGACATTACTGCTTGGCGGCTGGAATAAGTAAGGTAGCAGTACTTCCCTGGACGAAATCTATAACAAGGACCTCTGATGCTTCTTAAAATATATAAGCGATTCTTTCCTTTACTATATATACCACACATAGGAACTAGAACTATATGTGTAACTGACTGCCATCAGTCGTTGTGTGTAAGAATAATACGAAATAAATTAAACAAAATTGATGTACATGTGAAATTTGGAATTCTATTAGAGCGTTAAAAAAGTTACCGACCAATCGACCGTGGAATCTTTAAACCAGAGAGATAAGTTTAAAGTTACAGTTACATTCTTACACTAACGTCACAGTACATTTATGAAAATGTTATTTATGTTAAGAAAAATATTAATTTTTTTATGAAAAATAGTGATAGACATAACATTAATACGACGAATAAAAATAAACTAGCTGTTATTGACAGTCGTCTTCATAAAGTTTCAAATTCACTTAAGGGGGAATGTATACGCTTCTGTAATAAGATTTCGATTGATATTTAAAATTTGCCATTTAGGAGGTTTAAAACTATTGTGAAACAAAAACTTTACACTAAAGGTTATTATACATCTTCTGCGGACTTGTATGACAAAAATTCGTGGTAGTGCCACGTTTAGCTCTTTCGGGTATTCTCGATCTAAGATGTTTAATTTAAACACTGTAATACTGTAACAGGAAATGAAACTATCCTTCCGGATTTCACTTGACTATCAATCGTGACCATGTTTGAAAAAACAAACCTACCTATGAAATACAAATTATTCGACTTTGACCAGACTCAAAAAAACGTTCATTTCCCAAAGTCTTTACTAACAAACGTCGCTTTAACATCTAATTGCTGGACTCTAACGCTCTTACTCATCAAAACATTTTCACATCACAAAATTATAATTAAAATTCAAAACAAGCTCATACTGTATCCAGTACATTCACCTCTGGATCATTTAGACCAATGATCAATGAAACTTCTAATCGTTGCATTTACATAATTATCGATAATCGTAACTATGTTATGGTTCGATCTCAACGAATCATTTGGAAAGATATTTTGTATGAAGACAGCGTTGTGGAAACATATTATAATGTGGCAGTGGTATAATAAACGGTTACCTATCAGTAGTACAAAATGACATTATCCTGAAATAACATTTGATCGAATTTTCCTAATCTCGAAAGTAATTTTTAAAGGAAAATGTTTTTTCTTTTAAACCTAACTTAACCGAACCTAATCGTGTCTTTCCGATAAACATCTACTATATCCTGAAAGAACAACGGTTTCGTTACAATTCGGTTTTCGGTGTAATGAAAATTCGAACAAACGTTATTTCGGAAAAAAGAATTCGAGTTTGTGATAATATCGACGCACGCATAAGTATTTATTTTTTGTAATAGCCTATGTATACTTCACTATTATAAAGTTTTAGTGTGACGATAGGCTTGTCGGTCGCTTATTGTTTTTCCCCAACAGTATTTTACCGCTACGAAGCTTTGTAAAGTGGCTAGATAATAGCCACGATATTTTAATTTTATAAGCTATTTTAATAATAAAAGCGTCCGTGATTGGCCAAGTACCGCTTATATTTTAACCAATCAGGAGGATTTTAGTAGCAGTAGAGCTCCTTGTGAAAGAGTTCGTCCAGGGAAGTGCTGCCACCTTACCTATTTTTGCCGCCAAGTAGAAATGTGAGCATTACTGCTTTCCGGTTTTGAAGGCTACAGGGTGCTGGTGAAATTACAGTCACGTGGGGCTTGTTAACTTGACTTGGCGCAGTGACAGTGGTATTGCAACTGTTATGGACAGGCGTGTCGCGTACAACCATCCACACGGCTTGTCCGTCCCGTCATTTTATATCATAAAGAAAGGCAGAAGGTAGAGCGTCATATTTGATATTTCATATTGTTTTTAATTAGTTATTTTTTGTTGAATGGTAACCTTTATGGCCTTTGTTCCTGTTGTGTAACATTTTGAAATATTGTTTAATAAAATAATTTGAATTATAATAATTTCACAAATGTCGTGACCGTTGTTCTGTTCAGGAACTCAGTGACGTGTTTATGGAGACTCTTGTAATTAGCAAAACAACATGTTCTTTTTTGGAAACTGTGCCATAGACAATAGAATTAAAACTAAAAACAGCGTTTTTATGACATGGTTTGTGAAATTATAATTGACAAATTAAACTACAGGAGTAGAAAAGTTATTTAAAACTGCGGTGATAATTTATTGTTTTCTCATATTTTCTTGTAAGTTAAAAATTCATTTACAACGTAAAAACATAAATTTCTTTAAAATAAATCCACCACGTGCAGAATTAATAAAGTTAATACTCTTTTTGTCTTTCCTGTAAAGTTTTGGTAACACACGTCTTCGGTGGGGCCGTAGATATTATATACTTAAACTTAAAGCTGACTATCTGAATTCCTTGTTTAAAAATAATTAAATACGAAAATTTTGGTTATTGAATAGACCTCTGACCATGTTAAAGTAAAAGCTTTGCACGTGACTTATGGCAAATACTACACCGCCAAGAATAATAGCTCTTAAAATTATAAAGAGAGAAGGTCTAAGTTAGAGGAAATAAGTTCACTTACCTTCATTCCAAGCTGAAGTAACGTTCTCGTGATAGAAATATTCATTCTCCTCTTCATCAGACCACAGAACACCCTCTATACTTGATGTGATACCTTGCCCTTCAGGACCTTCAATAATCGAACGTCGAGACAACTGATCGTAGCTTGGAGGTCTTGATAATGAAAAGGTGGACACAGCAGAAATATCTGCCAAAGACGATCTGAAGTTCTTAACACTTCTACTATCTATAGGTCTGTAGTATCTTAAAGATCTGCAGTCTTCAGATTTGACTGAACGCAGTGACCGACAGTCGTAATTTGAAATATCGTTTAGGTCTCCTAATGATACTTTGAAATTGTTCGAAGATATGTCTCCTAGAGGTACTTCACAAGATCGTCTTTTCATACTAGTTTTTTGTGAGGGAGTTTCACCAGTAGCTTGCATATGGCGACTGACGCCAGCGCTATGGAGGAATTCGTTTGAACTATAGAAAGACATTTTTAGAGTAAACTATGCTATGCTTTAGGAACTTTATAGTTGACTAAAATGTGGAATTATTCGTTCAATGTTCTTCGTTCTCGTTGTGTTGTGTGATCTGGAACAAAGGATAAATACGCAATTAAATTATTTTGTAGTTTAAAACATAATATTACAAAATTAAGGTGCGCGCCATCTAGTGACATACTGCGGAATTACAATGATATAAAACTGCGACCGTCTGGCTTCATGAGCAACGTATAAAACTCGTGTCTAAGCTTCTTCTAGTTCACGCGAGAATCACTAGATGGCGGTAAGACGTAAATAGTTTACAAAATTTATAATAATATTACAAAAAATATTCTACATATTATTTAACCTAGACTAAAAACAGGGTGTTGTTATGCCTGTATATGTGGGTAGCTTAGAGTTATAGTTATATTCGAAAATAACTAACTGAATTTCAATTCATTAAGTTATATTCGAGTCTACCCTAGCCTTTTTTTTTAATGTTTATTTGAAAAAAATCCTTAACATACAAAATTTAAAAATACTGCCTTCGGAAGAAAAGGTCACAACTAACATTTTCTTCATCAGGAATTTCGGAATCAGGAAAAGACCAATCTACCTAATTTTTTTCTGGAGAAATATATCTCAATAATTGTTAAATAAACTACACAACTGATATCAATAATCAGATTTTCTACCATAAAAAGTCATATGTGACCTTTGTGTTAAAAGCACTAATATTAAATAATTTTACTAAGTAATGCACGGAACTGTGCCCTTATTATGTAGTTAAATTATATTACAAGCAACACAAAATTAGCAATTGTGTCCTTTAGTTAGTCCTATGCAAGAGTCAAGTACTAAAAGTCACATTTAAATTAGTTACGCCCTTTGATTCCAGTAATAATATTTTGTATTTCTTTCTACTAAATTAAAAGAGAAAATTAAGGCATTTTTAAAAACAGCTGATTGAAATACAACTAAACTAAATTTAAACAAAAATTAAAATTTTTTGTATAAAACACGTTATACGTGACTTTAAGATTAAATAAAAACTTTTTTCGGACGTTATTTTTATTTCTTAATTTAGAACTCCTTGCAACTAATGTTACTTTTTTAACTGAGTTACGTATACACGATTATAGTTTTTGAAGATGGAGAAAACGGAATTTCAGAATTCCGTTTCTCATCTGCAATAAAACTTGTCGAATTTATGATATTAACTATTGCTACAACCCCCATATTCACCAGATTTGGCTCTATTTGACTTTTTTATCGCATTTTTTACTGATTTGCATCAAACGAGGAAATTATGCTGAAACCGATGCTTATTTTTCAATTTGCCAAAAAAAATTTTTTTGATGGGTTGAAATTGTTGGGATATCGCTGGTCAAGGTGTATAGAGCTAAATTAACGCTCTAAGTGCTAACGTCGGGGCCTAATTCGGACTATAAGACAGTTATAGCGTGCTCTATGGCTAAATTTTAGGTCGTACTACAGCTATAGGTATTTAACCCAAGGAGCACACTTTATACGCCTTAAAAACTGTTATATCTATAAACAGTCTTATATGGTATAGGTTTAGATAATAGTTCTTTATAAATGGTTTTAGAAAAAAGAAATTGTACGTATAGACTTATTTCATTCAAGTCAAAATTTTAAAACCTTTAATTATTAAGAACAACTTATTAAGTGTAATCTCTCTTAAGATTTACTCTTATAGTCCTTATTTTAAGTTCATCTATAGAACAACTGATTATTTTTAGTAAAATTGTTCTATACACATCCAGTAAAGTCTATTAATACTCTAAGAACTAGTGTTCTTAAGTTCATTCTAGATTTATTTAATTTATAGACATTGTATAGTGTTTGTAATTATGACAAACACGTTATAGCGCGTCTTCAGTAGATTTTATTTAAAAAAATACTACAATTAGAGTTTTTACTCTACTGGACGTTGTAAGAGTTCATGCAAAATGGATAAAGTAAAGAATATTAAAAGATCTGGTGGAGGTGGTGAACCTTGGATTATTAAGTCACATCATTCGTTACAATCAGCGTTGCCAATGCCAATTGTTCAAAATCCCCAAAAGTCACGGTTAAAATCCCGAAATTTGGGGAGAGCAAAGTTCATATTCCCCACAAATTCCCCACATCTCGAGTTTTCATTATTTATTAGAAATACATCATTTAAAATATAATAAAGAATTAAGAAACTCAAAATGTAATAATCTATTACGTTGGCTGTGAATGTAAAATGTAGAACTAATTATAAAATTAGATGACCGATAAATCGTTTATTTATTTTAATTAGATTCAACATTAATCTGTAATCAGTCTTTGAAAAAAAAATTATTTTTCTTTGCCTTACAAAATTAAGTAAATTGATTATTTGTTGTGCATTTGGTGACACTATGTTAACTTTAGAAATAATCAATGAGTTTCGACCTATATTTAATATTTAAAGTTGATGAGTGGTAAGCTGTGGTGTGGAAGTACCAACTGCTCGGCTTTGTTTATCAATAGCTGATTTCGTTTTGCTTCATACCGGGGACCGGCCTAAACGGGAGAAAGAATCGCTAACTCAAAACACACCGACTGGTAATTTTACAATTCAGAACCAAGTGCTCTAAAAATAATTCTACTTAAGCTGCTTGTTAATAATACAAGGGATCTGCGATATTGAAAAACACGTCGATATAGTCCATCACAGTGTTTCTAACAGTAACGATCAAACTAGCGATGCATCAGCAATTGATAGATTAAACAAAATGATAACATGTTACAATTCCCACATTTTCCTCATATAGCGCCAATCCCCACAAAATTCCCAATCTAATTGAAATTCCCCACAATTAGGGGAATATATATATATATATTCTATATACATAATATTATATATATATATATTTGTTGACAAATAAATAAACATTGTGAAATAATTCCATGTTCTGGATTAATAAAAACAATTGAAATGAGCTCGTAAACTACTGTACTTCAATGTTGCGTATGTGTATTGTGCCGTCTATCAATAGAATACAGTGAAATCATTGTGTGAAATGTGGTTGGCGTGAAGAAATAACCTCAATTTTGTAATGAAAATTTTATTTCTTCCAACATAAGTTAGGTATGTCATTAAAATATTCCTTATATTTATATGATAGAGAATTTATCGACGATCCACTCTCGGCTCCGATCCGCAGGAGGAGAACGGGGCGAAGAAGGCGGGCTTATGCCCACCTGCTTCCGCCCCTAGTAGGAGTCCTCGAGCGTCAGGACTGGGGAATCCTGCCGCTCGAACATAAAGGACCCTGGCGACGGTAGCGGGCTGCCAAGTGTTCCAGGCAGTCCCCTGCGACTAGGAGAACAGGGTGAACTATTCCCACCCTGGACTCCGTGCAAACGGACGGCACCGGTGGGTTTGCGGAAGAATGTGTTCCCACCACAAGGTGCGTGGAGGAACACCCCCGGAGTTTTAGTTGGTAGGCCTCTCGTCTTAGAGAGGATAGTCCCACATAACCCCGCGCCTCCCCCGAGCGCGCGGTATGCGTATCGCATTTGTCCGGGTAAAAAAAAAGGTGGAGCAGCACTTGTGTGAAGTGGTGGCACAGCCACGAAGCGGTCGACGTTCGCGCAGGAGACGCGGGTTCGATTCCGTTATCCCTTAGAATTTCCACCTTCTGCGTAACCGCCCTATCGCAGAAGGAGGCGGCGGAGAGAGACAGAAAGGCTACGGCCACTGTCGACATCCGGCGCCGGAGGATAGGGAGAAGGCGGCGAGACGTTGGTCGCCACCTTCCGCCATAGGGAGCCACGACGACGATCGTGGGGATACATGTTCGTTGTCTACATGTGGCTCGAGTTGGTGTCGCGTGCACCCGCGGGCGCGGGCGCAGTAGGCTATGAAGGTAGAAATAGCTCCTCTCCTTCCTTGGTTGGTTGCGAGGTGAGCCAGGAAACGAGTAGGCATCGCTGGGTCTCGGAAGAATGCTTTGGCGCCCCCAAGACCCAGTGCATGGTGCGGAGACGGGTGCCGCGGGGTTTTATGAGTCTCACATAACCTTTCGTCTGTAGCCCCAGACGGAAGGTATCCATGATGGATTTCAGCGCGTAAAAAAAAAGGTGGAGCAGCTCTTAGGATTGTATTCGGGATCTATTACGAGGTAAACGTTTTGTCAAAAACACTCAAATAAAGGTAGGCAATGGAAATGGCATTAATTTATTAATAAAGGTGTAAACAAAATTTAATTAAAGTAGATAATATCAGCACTGCTATACAACAAGCTAAACTGTGTATAATACAATATCGATAACACAGATCTTTTGTTCTCTATTCTATTCCACGCTCGAGCTCTTATTATTATTATACGAACGTACAGGGTCTAATTTAGAGTTGAACAATTAAAAGGAGCAGGACTGTAGATTAATTTTGTTCTTCGATGAACTATCTAATCTAAATGTTACTTATATAGATTACATTTCAAACAAAGTATAATTATTATTACAAAGATCTTTCTATGCGTTTGTTACTGATGTTTATTTTTGGTTTTACGACTGTTTTGTCGTGGCGCCACCTGTAAGAAATCTATGCAAGTGTTTTTCTACTCCTGGACTTTAATCTGCCAAATGTAATTTCTTAGACCATATCACAAAGGCGCTGTTTTAGTTTCGGTGTTCTAAAATAAAATACTATTGTCTATGGTACTTGCTACAGTTTCAAAAAAAGAACATAATATTTTTGCTTTATAAAGTCTCCTTAAACGCGTCACTGTGTTTTTGATCAAAATAACGTCACTATATTTGAGAAATTATTAAAATTTAAATTGTTTTATTAAATAATACCTCAAAATGTTACATAACATGTACAAGGCCTTAACCGTTTTGTAAAAGAGAGCTATTAAATACGGTTGTTCCATTATTTTAGTCTACTTTTAGAGAAAGTAGTATAATATCGTATCTATTACTTAGGTTACTCGGCATTGCTATAAAATATTACTTCTTTACTCAACCAGATACCCTTACAGCTACCAGAGGTTGACAAGAGACGTCGC